GTCATAATCACAGATATAAGGTAAGCTGTTGCTTTGAGAGAGGCCTCTGATTGTTGAAGGCATATGGCGTTGAAAATTTGTTTGAGTAGCTTGAAGGTTATCCAGTTGTCTTCTGCAGACTTCGTTCTAGATTCGATTACGTATGCATGCGGCTGTCGCCACAGAAAATAGTGATCTTCCTTGCACTTTTTTGTTTAAACAAAGTAATTTGTTCTGTATAAAAGTATTACTTTCCAGCCAGCGCAGAGTGAGTGCAGTCTGGGGAGGATGACAGCCAAGGTGAAAGCACGTTCTGTGCAAAGCAAGTGCATGGCACAGAAGCACATTCTGCGTGAAGCAAGTGCGTGTCCCTCCTGCGCCCTGGTTGTGGAGCACTGTGCTGGCAGCACCGCTGGCCCCGAGCTGGTGCCGGCAGAGGGGAGTGAGAAGAGAAGGGTGGGCTGGGGCCGGGGAGGCGAGGAACGGTGCGAGGGCGCCCGGCCGGCGCCGGGGCAGCACCGCGGCGGTGGCACGGGAGCCATCTCCTGTTCCCAGGAACCTGATACATCTAAGCTGGGGTAATGAGTTGTGCTTCCAAAGATGAACACAACCAAAAAAAGGCATAGGCGTCACAGGTAGATGATCTCTGAATTACGAACCTCTAAACATTTTCCTGGTGATGCTTATGTGCTATTAGTCTGGGTAGGAGATGTAAGTTTAAAGTTCAAGTGCTCTGAATGCCTGAAGTAGTTGTTCAGCCTATTTCTGAGTTACTGATACAAATTGAATTTGCTTATGACCGTACAATCTGAGGATGGAGCAATTGGAGCTCCAGGGTGTTATCTCTCTTAAGAGATACTGAACAGAAGTGTTGTCATAGTTTGCGCTAAATCATGCTTTTATCTTCGATGTTTGTGCTTATGTTCAGATCAGTTCAAATGTGGCTGTATCTTTATTTTGTCTTTTTTTCCTTTTTTTTTTTTCCCCAAGGCTTATTCACCATGATGACTGCCTAGACAGGAACCTCTATCCCATGTTGATAAAGAAACACTGGTTATGTACCAGAAAGTGCTTTGTATGCAAAATGTACACAGCCAGGTATGCTGCATTCTACATCCTTCTAAGGTGTTTTCTTCACAAAATCTTTCCAGGTGCCTCTACTAATTTAAAAAAATCAAAGCTCTATGTATGCTTGCGATAAGCAAATAACCAAAATTCTTAAATATCAGAATATTATCTCTATTTGATTTGATAATCAGATCTTCAGGCAGGTTGTCCTCTCTTGGCCCTGGCAAGTGCCTCTTGCCAGAAGTGTTCACGATGAGATGACTTGAGATGGTTGAGAAAAACTGGGTTCTTTCTGCATACATAGAGCTAGGTTTTTGGTCAGTTGCCTACTTTGGAAAACCTTGCTCCTTGGAGAAAATGCTCCATTTTTCCCTGCTGATGGGATGTGGGATTCAAATTCCCTTGCCAGAAGCCTTACAGAGCTTTTATGAAATCCAGTGTAGATATAGGGGGAAGTTTGGACCTGTGAAACTTAAAATAACACAGCAAAATTGGGTAATTTCATAAGGCATATTGCCTCCCCCACTCCTGTGGCAGAAGTTGGTGGGCCACGTGGCTTGAAGGAACTTTGGGTTGCACAGTGGTGCAGTCTGCAGCTGCACAGTGGATTTTCTGCAGTTAAAAGCGCAGAAAGTGAGCCTTGTGCTCTTCTCCTCCTGATATTTAGCAGCGTCTGCAGGGGTGCGAGGAGTCGGTCATTCCACACTGCAGAAGTCACTGCTGGGGAGTCCTTGGGACTTAACTGGGCTCCCTGATTTCGCTCAGTTCTAGATAACTTACTGCCCAAAGCACCCAATGACCTTTTTTCTGCAGGGCAGCTTGCACTCTGCCCTAGCTTGCTCTGTTATCCCACTGTACTGTCCTTGGCCTTGCCTGGAGCCAGCAGGGAACTGAATTCCATCGTGGCCGGAGCCCGTGGCGGCCCCGAGGTCCCTCCGCACGTGCTCTGTCTGTGCGGCGTTTGGCCATACGGGGAGGTGGAGCCAGGGGAGGATGGAGTGAGGAAGGCATTACCAGAGGTGATGTAAATGCATTAAATTAAAACCAGGATTAAGCACTAAGCTTATGTGGGGAGATGCTAAACCGTGGATAGGCAGAGCTGCTTTGGCTGGCGGTCCTGCGGGCTCTAATCTGTGCAGAGAGCGGCTCTAATC